ATAAGAGAGTGTAACTTTTGTACAAAATTTTATCAAAATATCTCCAACCTTTCAAACAAAATGGCCGATTTTAGTATTGGCAAAAAATCATAAAACACCCTATATCTCAGAAACGAGTAAGATTAAATGATTAAATTAAGTACTAAATTTAGCAATAAATTAAGTCATTAATTTAGTACTAAATTAAAAAAAAAAAAATCCGTTTGCAACGATACCAATTTTTAGTACTAAATTAACTATAGGCGCACGCGCATTGACGTATTAATACGTGAAATTATCAGAGAAATGTAATATTCTGTGTAAAATAGACAAGTGAAGTAAATGGTGTTTTTATTATGAATTTGACACTAGTTGACTTGACAACAACCAAATACAGCAATGTTACTAAAAACCGCGAAAAAAAAAACAATAAAACCTACAAAATCAAACGAGCGAACTTTATTCAAGGCGATAATACAAAATTATCGCTAATTAAAAACAAAATAGTACAGAAAATACCGTCGTGTCAACTTATTCTGTGAAAAACTTCTGCGCAACATTTCGACGCACTTTTAGTACTAAATTTAGTTGAAAATAGAACAAGTTCTAATTAATTAATTAATTTTTTTAGTACTAAATTTGCTGTTTGCTACGTTAATTTTTGTAGTACTTAAAAAATGCATTAATTTAGTTCTAAATTTAGTACTTTTTTTTTTTTTTTTTTTTTTTTCCTAGGCTCGTCTGACTATGTGTCTCCGAATAACACTGAAGCCTATTGGCTTATTGTGTTTTACCCCCTGTTAGTTCATAGCACCCACTCTATCACCTTTGTACCTTGAACAAGTTTGTACAGATCCTTGGGTGAGTGGGTTCTATACGTTGTTGGATCAACCTGGGGTTGTCCAAAAAGAGCCTGTCTTTTGCGATCTAGAGCTTCGCATTCGCACAGTATGTGTTTGGCCGTTTCTGGTTTCTTGTGACATAGTCGGCACATGAGTTCCCCATTGTACATGCCAATTTTGTTCAAGTGTCCCTTTACTAGGGCGTGCCCAGTCATGAACCCTGTTATCACTGTCAACTGGTCCCTATTCATTAAGAGTAGTTCTCCAGTTCTTTTGGGACATGGTCTGCCTATGAAGGCTTTTCCATGTGCCTGTTTTGGGGTGCTTCCCCAATAGTTGATATGTTGTTCCCGAATTCAGTCATTTATAAAACCCCGGACTGTACTTTTTAGTACTCCTGGGTTTGTGTCTGGTTCCGGTGTTTCTTCTGACCCTCTTTTTGCAAGTTCGTCAGCCTTTTCGTTGCCTTCGATCTCTTTGTGACCTGGCACCCAAAATAGTTTTACTCTATTTAGGTCTGCCAGTGTTCTTAGTTCTTCGATGCATTCCCATACCAGCCTCAACGTAACTTTCTGACTCGATATGGCCTTAAGTGCCGCTTGGCTGTCTGACATTATTTGAATATGCTGATTTTCGACAGCTCTTTCATTGTTCGTTTTTGCACATTGCAAAATTGCGTATACCTCGGCCTGAAATACCGAGGAATGTATTCCTATAGCATAGCTATGGTTAGTATCAGGGTTTTTGGAGAATACTCCTGCCCCAGTGACTTCCGCAGTCTTAAACCCGTCTGTATACCCGGTTTGTTCCTGTCGTTGGGCATTGGGCTCCCTTATGGTGATCTCCGCTCTTTCCTGTATTAAAACCTCAAAGGGAGTATTAAAAGAGTACCTCTTGGTTATGTGGTCTGATCTCATGTCTAGCACGTCTCCTGTCACTAACCTTGAGATACTCATGTGACCTGGCCTAATGTCAAGATTTCCCAGTGTATTCCCTAATCTGTAAGCACCTAATCTTGCCTCCCCTTGTATCACATAGTAAAGAGGTGGGAGTCCTATTAGTGCTTCCATTGCAGCAGTGGGGGTTGTTTTCATTGCCCCTGTTATTCTAAGGCAGGCAAGTCTTTGTACCTTGCTTAGCCTCGTTATTGCTTTCCTTTGCTGTGCCTTTGGCCACCACACCAAAGCTGCGTATGTAATTATGGGTCTCACCACCATGTTATAAAGCCAGTATACCATGTCTGGTTTTAATCCCCATTTTTTTCCAAAGGATCGCCTTGCCATCATTAATGAGGTTTCCGCTCTCCTTGTGATTCTTTTAAGATGCTGGTTCCAGGTAAGTCTCGAGTCAATCATAACCCCGAGATATTTTACCTCCCCCTTAAGCTGGATGCTTGCACCTCTTAGGTTTAGAGGCCCTAGTCCTTCCAATTTCCTCCTGCGGGTGAATGCAATTATGTCAAATTTGTTTGGGCTAATGTTTATTCCTTCCGCCCCTGTCCATTTTGTTACTATATTTAGAGCCTCTTGCATTCGATCTCTTACTATAGTGTTGTATTTTCCCTGTGTTATGATCGCTAGATCATCGGCATATCCCAGGGTTCTATGTCTCTTATCTTTGAGAGCCCTAAGCAGCCCGTCCACTACAAGGTTCCACAGGAGTGGAGACAGCACTCCACCCTGTGGACATCCTCTCGCTATCCGTGCCGCTGTTGTCTCTCCCATAAGGGTTGTGTGTATAGTTCTCTCCCTTAACATAGAGTCGATCCAGGACACGCATGTGTCCTCGATTCCTCTGTGTTTGAGAGATCTAATGATTGATTCAACGAAGGTATTGTCAAATGCACCCTCGATATCCAAGAATGCTCCCAGCATTACCTCCTTGTTTTCCAGTGTGTTCTCCACCCTTTTTATTAGTTGATGGAGAGCTGTTTCAGTTGATTTCCCTGCACTATAGGCGTATTGGTTTTGGTATATTGGCCTTTGAACCAATATCCCGTCTCTAATATGCCTATCTAGCAGTTTTTCCAAAGTCTTAAGTACGAAGGACATAAGACTTATTGGTCTTAGGGACTTTGCCGTTTCCTGTCCCATTTTCCCAGGTTTTGGTATAAAAGTTACCCTAATATTTCTCCAAGCTTTTGGTATATGTCCAAAGGCCAGGCTACTTCTGAGTATGTTACAGAGTCTGCTGTATAAAATATCAGGACCTCTTTGTAACATTATTGGATAAATCCCGTCCATGCCCGGTGATTTATATGGTATGCTAATTTTTCGGCCTTAATGTTATTGATTACTCTTGTATGGTCATCCTTGTCGTCGACAAATATTATAGTTGTTGCATTTGTATGCTTAATGCTGAATTGTCCTTTGACATATTCCTTTAAGTCCTTTATCAGTGTTGTCTGGTCTTTCGTTTTGCCATCAATCACGATCGGTGGCATCGATTTTCTTGCAGTTTTTGCGTTTTTTTGTTAGCTATTTACCACTGTTTGTGAGTTTGTTTTATTTATGGGGGCTTTTGGGAAAGGGGGTTGTTCAGTCATATCCATAGGCCTGAATTTCATTTTCTTCCTTTTTTTGACGATTTTCATGACTTCGTCATCGCCAATGTCATTTTCTGATTCGTCCGTGAGTGGTGTGGATTTATTTTGAGTGTTCACTATCGTACGCTTAGTCTTCTCTCGGATACGTTTCTGGAAGTTTGACGAGAACTTTCTTGGTGTGATGTAAGGTTGCTCAACACTTGCAACTTTAGCAGCTTCGATGTCTCGCTGCTCTTGCTCGTATTTAGCTCTATCCGCACTATTCCTGAATTCAAACAGGCTGTTTGGAGAGTTCGGAAGATTTCTGTATGGATCGTTTCTGTTTCTACGGTCATCCTCGGATGTAATGCTCGACTCATAGCCGAGAATGTTAGAGTCTACTTTTTTCGGTATTCCTCGCCTATTTTCCGGTCTTGTTCTGGGGTCTGTGTTTTTCTTTATCGCTCCCTGAGCTTTTATTTGTATGTCAGCCATGTTTACTGTAGCTCCTAAGATTGTATTAGAGGGTGTAGAATTATACCCAAAGCGATAGCTACT